GCCTCCCCGGCTGGCTGACCCTGTCGTTGCTGCCGCTGCTGCTGTTGCTGTTGCTGTTGTGTCCACACGCGGCGCGGGGTGAGTGGGGGCCGCGGACCCAGGCCAGCGGGGTGAGCCCTTAGCCTGAGTGGGAGGGGCTGGGTCAGTCTCCATGACAACCGCGAAGTCTGGGGCCCTGGGAAGGTGAAGGGTCTGGGCGTCGGTAATGGTCCCCTGACATCCTCTACCGTTAAAGATGAGAGCTCCGGCCCTAACCGGTTTGGCCCAGTGGATAGAGCGTCAGCCTGCGGACTGAAGGGTCCCAGGTTTGATCCTGGTCAAGGGCATGTACCTTGGCTGCGGGCACATCCCCAGTAGGGAGTGTGCAGGAGGCAGCTGAACAATGTTTCTAACTCTCTATCACTCTCCCTTCCTCTCTGTAAAAAAGTCAATGAAACATATATATATTTTTAAAAAGTTAGCTATTAGGGGTCTTGCTGTGCGGGACCCCAACTGCACGGCTGTAGGAGTGACTTTAGGATGAGGCGCGGATGGCTGAGGAAGCCCCGGCTGAGTTTGCAGAGCAGCCAATACTGGGAAGCAGAAAGGCAGGGCTGGGCTGGAGGGATTGTCAACCCCCCAACATCTCTTTCAGGGTGGGAGGCCACATAACCGACCACGCGGGCCCCTAACAACACCTGGAGCTACACCTTTAATTGCACATCTCCAGGTGTAACGTTCCAACCGGGACCCAGTCTTTATTGTGCGCCTAGCAACCGTATCTAAGTGGAGAGAAATACTAAACCACTTCAAAAAATAACGGAGGGGAAGGGTTTATTCTCGACTTATTTTAGCCTTGAATTCATCTTCAAGATTGGAAGCCTAGCAAGTTGTTGGGATGTCGTCAGTCGGCACTGGATCGAAATGCTACGTGTGTATCAAAAACCATGGCTGCTTCCCTTAGCGTGGGGAAGGGAATGTTGCTATCAATTGAAAAGTGGTCTTTTCTTTAGTTCCATTTTTTTTTTCATTTCTAGGTGACTGTGATATCCCCCCAGATGATGTACCAAATGCTACACCAGATTTGGAAAATCGTACAACTTTTCCTGAAGGATACATAGTAGGATTCTATTGCGATCGCGGTTATGTGAAAATGAGGGGAGCGCTGAGCGGAAAACACTGTCTTCCGAACGGTGAATGGACAAAGCTGGCACCATTTTGTAATCGTACGTTCTTCCTTTCTTTTTAGAAAAGGGAGGGGGCCCTGGCCGGTGTGGCTCAGTTGTTGGAGCTTCCTCCCGTGCACCAAGAGGTAGCTGGTTGGATTCACAGTGAGGCCACATGCCAGGGTTGCAGGCTCAGTTCCAGTAGGGGGTGTGCAGGAAGCAGCTCATTCCATTTGTTTCTCTCTCATTGGTGTTTCTCTCTCCCTCTCCCTCCTCCTCTCTCTAAAAATATTTTAAAAATCAATAAAAGCATATTTTTTAAAAGTTAGAATGGAATGTATCCTCTTAAGGGGAAATATATCCCTCTTCCCAGGGACTGGCAATTGATACTTTTCTGGCATTGTTACACCCCAGGATATACCTGCTAGCACTTCACACACCAGCTAGTTAATGGTATTACCCTGCTTCTTCATTAACAGCTCCCTCCTGCTCCCCACACGGTATCTCCTGAACTGACTAACAGAAAATAACCAATAGTGACTGTTGTTGTTTAGGGAATAAATTAAATATGAACATGTTGGGCAATTGCATTGAGACACATAGTATGGGTGCTCTGTTTGAAATTTGATTTCCTAAAGAAGGACTTCCCATGTACAACACTGGGGTGCCACTTTTGCAATGTCACTATCTGTACCTCAAAACCTATGGATGGCCCAATAGTAGTTTTGACATATACAAGAAGGTATAAAGATAAGATTTGATTCCTGCCTTTGAACAAGTTTGGAGCTTTGGAAGCTACATACACATAGAAACTGCCACCACAAATATTTTTTTAATGGGCTTTAACTGTTTTTAAAACTTATCTGTGATAGAAGGCAGTAGGTTGAAGTACATAAGCCTTTGCACATGTATCCTGTTTCAGAGTTTATAACTCTACCACCTATGTTACTTTATTTAATCCTCCAGACAATTCCGTGAGGTGAGTAGGCACCCATCCTCTTTTTACAGTTGAGAAAACAGGTCCTGAGAAGTTAACTCCCTTGAGATCAGCAGCTCTTATGCAGAAGAGCCCGGGTTCAAACTTGAGTATTTTGACAATAAATCCAACTGTCCCATGCCTCCATAAAGTCATATTTGCCCAGCTGGTTCAAGTTTGTAAATACTTGAATGTACACGTTGGCCCCTCTGATCCTTGCCTCAGTAGGTTGCTGTGGGATTGAATGAGTTTGCTTGCAGCAAACGTTTAGAAGTATCCCACAAATATTAGCGATTATTGTTACGATTGTTGCCCTTGTCCAGGACATTAGCCCAGGGGTGTGGGAATATTGGTTTTCATCTACCCCTGCGCTACATGGGGCAGGCAGGGCAAGGCAACCTGCATTTATTGACTCAGTGCCAGAACTGCACCATGCAACTTAAACACGTTATATTCTTCAAATTGTGGGCCTAGTGACATCTACTTCACAGGCCTTTAATCATTAGGAAACAAAAGCATACATTTGAATATGCTTGATGCCCTATAAATGCCCTATTGATATTAATATAGCTAAGTGCCAAATAGGTACAAAGAAGTATGCAAAAGGAGGAGATATAAAGACCAGATAATTCCAATCATTAAATATAGATTATAAAATAAAGTGATATTACTCTTTGTTGTTGTTGGTTTGGTAATACTTTTAGGTACCTGTAGTCTTCCACCGAAGGTACTTTATGCAGCTATGAAAGATATTTTCATCCCAGTGAGTTATCGCCCAGTGGGTTTTGTTGTGGAATATGAGTGTAATCCGGGCTACGAAAGGAACCATTCCGTGTCAGCGGAAGTAACTTGCCTTCGGAATTATACGTGGAGCACACTACAAGTATTTTGCTACAGTGAGTATAATTTTAAAGAATATTCTTACTTGTATGGTATTTGGGAAAATAGTATTTAATCCTTTATTCATGCTGGAAGTCTGTGTGTACATATTATTATTTGGAATGATTTTTTTTTTTTTAAAAAAGAATGATTAGAGTCATCTCTGTGTGTACATATTATTATTTGGAATGATTTTTTTTAAAAAAAAGAATGATTAGAGTCATCTATAAAAGGTTAAGATGCAAAGTGTCCCCTTGGGAATTTGACCTGGAGACCGGGAGTTCACTCGCTTGCTATGATGTGCGCTGACCACCAGGGGGTGGTGCAGAATGAAGGAAGGCCCTGGCCAGCAGCGGGAAAGCCCTGATCGGCCCTGATCAGCCCTGATCGCCAGCCAGGCCTAGGGACCCTACCCCTGCACGATTTTCATGTATCTGGCCTCTAGTTTTATTATAATTAGGCAAACTAAATACTTGAGAGAGATAGGAATATTAATTGATGCACAGATTTCACATTTAATTAGTTTAAGATTACCATAAATGAAATGAAAGAAGTATATATTCCTAAATAGGCTGCTTTATTGAAACTTATAAAATGACTGTAGGATTTAAACAGACTCAGGATAAGAGATTACCAGTGGGTTCAGATGATGAATTTGCGTAGATGTGCCTAAAAACTTAAAAAAAAAATTTCTACTGCCTTCTAGAAAGATCATGTCCTGATCCTGGACAAATAGAAAATGGTCATATCAGTATACCAACTGACATATTATTTGCCTCAGACATCTACTTCTCATGTAACCCAGGGTAAGTTTTTGCATACTAACCATTCTATATTTAACAAGTGAAAAAACAAATTAGAATTTAAGATGGAGATTTTTAGAAGTATGGACAGTGTTCACAAGCTAGTAGCAATAAAAAAAATCCCTCTGCTCAAAGGTTTTCCTCATAAGCTTATCACAGTTAAATTTAGTAAAATGGGCTAAGAAAGGAAGATGTTTTATACCACCAAATTCTCTAAATTCTTAGGTTTCGGTACATGTGATTCATTATAAAAATTTAAATGTCATTGGTAAAGGAAATTACTTGCAGAAATTAAATGCAAGATTTAAATGAAACCAATCTTTAATTTACCTAAATAATAAATTTGCATGTTTTTTAGCATGTATTATTTATTTTTCTTTATTGATTAAGGTATTACATATGTGTTCTTATTCCCCCATAGTCCCCCCACCCCCTCACTCATGCCTTCACCCCTCCTCGTGTCTGTGTCCATTGGTTAGGCTTATATGCATGCATACAAGTCCTTTGGTTGATCTCTCCCCCTTACCCTCACCCTCCCCTACCTTCCCTCTGAGGTCTGATCAATGCTTCTCTGTCTCTGTTTTTGTTCATCAGTTTATGTTGTTCATTATATTCCACAAATGAGTGAGATCATGTTAATATGTTTTTTACATGCAAAGAATCTTACAAAATATCTTAGGTTAAAAACATGTGGTTCTAGTGTTACAATATCATCTGACCAAGGTTTTTTATAAGTTCTCTATTTAGAGAAAAGGGACTCACTCACTGAATATTATAAGTGTCTCAGATACCGCTGAAAACTTTATATTCATTTTCTCATTTAATATTTGCAAATTGAATTATGATATTTTACTCTGTATGTGTATGTCCATTTTTATAAAATAATATCAGTATCACTTATCTCCTGTGCTAAACACAGATATTTAGATCATAAATATCAAATCTGGGGGTACTTTGAACCCTTTAAGTGTAAGTGTATTCTATTATTCTATGAAGCCTGTTTTGATCTTTGAGAACTCAGAAATAGAAAATATTCAAGCATCTACATAATTTTAAAATGTTTTAAAATACTTTAATATTTTCTGAAATGTGCTCCACCCAAATAAGAAATGTTTTGCATGTCTTATAATTGTTTATCCTTTGGATGTCACTTTTTTTAATTTATTTTTTTTCTTTTTCTTTAAACTACCATACGAACTTTCATCAACTATTGTTTTGTCTCCACCTACTGGTATAGTGAATATTTTTAGATGATATTCTGGAGAATTTAAGAGAACTCAACTTTTCTTGTCCTCTCATTGTTTAGGTACAAATTAGTTGGTGAAAATTCTACTTTCTGTTATTATGAAGGAAAGGATATGGTTTGGGCCGATCCATTCCCAGTGTGCCAAGGTAAGACTGAAAGAATCTAAGCACTCACGTTGTGGGCCTAAGTTATCAACGACAAATTACTTTCTGTGCATTAAGAATTATTCACAGTGTATATCTGTAGTACCCTCACCGTCTAATGTGTGTCTGAGCTGATTTAAAGACTTTTATCTGCAATTCTCCTTAACTTATTACCTTTGGAGATAAAGCATTAAAAACAAACTAAAGTTTGTGTTGTGGTTGGTCATTTATTATCTTGCCATTTCTCCAACCAGTCAGATAAAATAGGGTGGGGGAGGAGCCCTCAATGGATTCATCCCGTCAGCCCTGAAAATCCCCCATCGAGTGGAGAGAGGCACTCCCAGAGCAAGGCCAAGCACCACCTTTTAAAGTGTGGGAGCTAGGGCAGGAGTTCCACTGGCCTGAGTTCAAAGATGCTGCTGCTTGCAATGGCCTCCAGCCTTCATTCTTGTACTCTATTACTGTTTCATCTATAGTATAGATTCTATACTCTCCCCAGAGTTATCCATCTGAAACACCAACATGACTTGTCTTTCCTTCGGAGAGCTTGCTGGGGCTGACCAGCAGACCCTGAGCAATGGATGAATGATTACTTTGACACAGGATTGCTGTAAAAGAGAGGGCTAAGGGACTGCCTGGCTAATGTATTTTGAATATTAAACCCTTATTGGATATATCAATTGCTGGTATCTTCTCCCATTCAATGGGTTGTCTGTTGACTTTGTCAATGATTTCCTTTGCTGTGTGTGCAACATTTTAGTTTGATGTAGTCATATTTGCTTTATTGTTTTGTTTTGTTTCCCTTGCCTAAGGAGACATATCCAAAAAGATATTGTTAAGAACGGTGTCAAAAAGTTCACTGCTTATGTTTTGTTCTATAAGTCTTGCAGTTTCAAGTCTTACACATAAGTCTTTAATCCATCTTGAGTTTATTTTTGTATATGGTGTAAGAAAGCGGTCCAGTTTTATTATTATTTTTTGTATGTGTCTGTTCAGGTTTCCCTATAGCACTATTGAACAGACTGCCTTTACTTTTATTTAGTTTTAATCTTTATTGAAAGTATTACAGATGCCCCCCCTTTTTCCCCTATTGACCTCTTCTAGCCCACCCTGTCCCCTCCCCCCAGGCCCTATTGTCTGTCCATGGGCTATGCATATATGCATACAAGTTCTTTGGTTGATCTTTTCCCATCCACCCACCCACCCCTGCCTTCCCTCTGAGATTTAACACTCTGTTCCATGCATCTATGTCTCTAGACCCATACAAAATGAACAGACTGTCTTTAACCAATTGTATATCCTTGCCTCCTTTTTGTAAATTAATTCACTGTATTAATGAGGATTTACTTCTGGGCTCTCCATTTTATTCCATCACTTTGTAGGCCAGAACATATTGCTTGGTTATTATAGATTTATAGTATAGTTTTATATCAGAGAGTGTGATACCTCCCACCTTGTTCTTTCTCAAAATTTCTGTGGTTATTTGGGGTCTTTTGTGATTCTATATAAATTTTAAGATTAGTTGGAAACTCAAACAAATAATAAAAGCGCGGAGTCACAAAAAATGTAAAACATGAAAATACTAGAGAATATGAAGAACAGTGACAAGGGTAAATGAACACTGAAAGATAAATGCAACATCTTGTGGGGTTTGAATTGTATGTAGAATACAGACTTATGGTAGCAATAAACCAAAAGACAAGAAGGGGTAACTTCAATTTAAAGGTTCCCAGGTTCCAGCAGTATTAAAAAGTGGTAAAAGAGTTAATCTGCATAATTGACTTATAGTATAATACTGTAATCTCTAGGGTTGTCTTGAAAGTAATAATAAAAGAATATAAAAATTACAAACTAACAAAGGAATTTTAAGGAATGCTTAATCCAAAAAGCAATAAGAACGAAGGAGTGACAAAAGGAAACATAAAATAAGTCCTGGCCAGGTAGCTCAGTTGATTAGAGCATCATCCAGATACACCAAGGTTGCAGGTTTGATCCCCAGTCAGGGTACATACACGAATCAACCAATGACTGCATTAATAAGTGCAACAACAAATCTATGTTTCTCTCTCTCTCTCTCTCCTTCTCTTTCTTTCTAAAAAATCAATTTAAAAAGGGAAACATAAAATAGATGGATGGAATAGAATACTGATAGTAATGTGTTTGATCCAAACCTAATTGTATCAGTTAATTACATTGTGATTTGACTAATATTGTCAGACTAGATTAATAAAGTAAAAGTGAACTATTTGCTATTTATAAGAGCCACAGTTTAATGATAAGAATACTGAAGAGGTGAAAGTTAAGGATGGAAAAAATATGCTATGCAAACAATTACCAGAAAATAAAAAGCTGTGTAACTCTATTAGTATCCAAGTATACTTTACGATAAACCAGTTAATCATTATAAAGAGGTCAGTTCAACAGGAATAGATCACAATCTGAAATCTATGTGCCCTTGGAAAAATAGCTTCAATCTCTATATAGCAGAGATGGGCAGAAAGAAAAAGAGACAAATCCACAATTATAGTTTGAGAATTCCACATCTTTCTCTCAATAGGTAACCAAAAATCAGAATATAGAAGACACGACCAACAATTAAACTTTAAAAAATAACAGATAAGCGTATTGAACCCTATAAGTGTTGTTTTTAAATATACATGGAATATTGACAATATGCTGGGCTCTAAAACACCATGCATTTAAGAAGATTGAAATTACTCAGAGCATGCTTTCTGACCCCAGTGGAATTAAAGTAGACAATCAAATAAAAAGATAACTAAAAAAGTAACTTCCAGGAGATTTAAACTGCAGTACTACAAAGTCCTTTGGATCCAAAATGAGATCTTGGAAGAACAAAATAAATTGTATAGATGTTGGCCTTAGACGAAAAGTCCATATGAAAAATTTACTTACCCTAATAATAAAACCTATCATTTTCTGAGTGCCTGCCAAGAGCCGTGTTACCTGCTATGTATTTTACTTGTTATCCCTGGGGGAACTTTGACTGCCAAGGGCCATTTGGATATTGATAACATCATTCATGGGCCACACAAAATTATCAATTTTAAAATTAGCCTGCTATATTTAGTCAAACACTTAATTAACTCACCCCTAATGCCTTGGCAGGACCAGACCAAATAATTTCCTGGGCCTTATACGGCCTGCAGGCAGGAGGTTCCCCACCCCTGAAATAGCATCCTATGAGGTCGGTAAAGGATGTAGAAATACATGACACAACATCTGAGCGCCTAGAGCAGGATGTGTGCCGATGCTGTTGGCAGTAGTAGTGCTGGATGACGTAACACGTGGCTTCAGGGACAGACTGTGTGAAATAACTCACCCAAATTATTTCCCTTATCCCTTACAGTAAGGTAACACAGTCTGCTCTGTTTTTACTCTTATTTTATATTCGAGGAAACCGAAGTTCAGAGGGATTAGAAAACTTGGTCTCTAGGATGCAGTGAAACAGGCCTAAGCACTATTCAGTTCCGCATTAAGAGGGCGTTTGCATACGCAATCTGGAAAATAGTATGCTAAGTGAAATAAGCCAAATGGAGAAAGACAAATATCACATGAGATCACTTATTTGTGGAATCTAATGAACAAAAGGAATTGGCCAACAAAATAAGACTGGGAGCAGGGAAGCCTGGGACAGATTAACATACCTCGATGTGGGGTTTGGGGGACAAGAAGAGATAAACCAAAAACTTATGTACGTATATGCATAGCCCATGGATACAGGCAATAGAGTGGTAAAGACCTGGGGGGAGGGAAGGGTAGGGAGGAGGGGGAAATAGGGTGAGAACATAGGAGATATCTGTAATACTATCAAAAATTATATTTAAAAGAAAACACAGTTAAATGGTCCTGAAGACCTAAAATTTTACTATGTTGTTATTTGTGATTCTCAGAATAAGATCTTAACTGAAGTTGTGCTTTAGACATGTTAGCTCACCTAAGAGCCAAAGAGGAACTAGTCTAATGTGTGTAAAGTTGGTAACCAGTACAAGAAGAGAAAAAAGGGGGAGTTATTTTATTCTGACTTTATTACTTTAAAAAAGAAGTGAAACAAGAGACGTTTCCAAGGTCACTAACATATCCCGAGAGCTGCAGAAAACAGAACTCTGTGATGATCTCTGTTGTGATCATCTCTATTGGTCCAATGTTTGCATCCTGCTGTTGTTTGGTCTTGGCATGAGCAAAGGAAGACGATGTAAGAGAGAAAATATCTTTATTTGGGGTGTGTCACAGAATGAGATCACTGCCGACGCGGACTTCTGTTTCCTTTCTTCACACAGAGAACAGTTTAGGTATCTCAGTACTACTTTGATGTACTTAGTTGCCTGTTGGTATAATTTATGTGGAAGCCCAAACAGTGTAGCATTTTACATCCTTGGGAAATACACAAGACTTGGATGACTAAATGTCATGTTTAGGTGTTTGTGGGGCGAGAAAGAGAAGAGTCATTGAGTTAGCAATTGGTTCCTAAATCTTAAGAGCATTATTTTGCTAATGTGTTAAAAACATTTTTCCTCCACAGAAATTCCTACAACTACTCAGAAACCCACCACGACGGATGCTCAAAGTTCCAAAGCCCCGTCATCGCATCAGAAACCCACCACAGTAAATGTTCCAGGTACAGAGTCCCCATCAACTCCTCCAAAACCCACCACAGTGAATGTTCCAGTTACAGAGTCCCCATCAACTCCTCCGAAACCCACCACAGTGAATGTTCCAGCTACAGAGTCCCCATCAACTCCTCCAAAACCCACCACAGTGAATGTTCCAGCTACCAAGCCCCCACCAGCTCTTCAAAAACCCACCACAGTAAATGTTCCAGGTACAGAGTCCCCATCAACTCCTCAAAAACACACCATTATAAATGTTCCAGCTACAAAGTCCCCATCAACTCCTCAAAAACACACCATTATAAAGGTTCCAGCTACAAAGTCCCCATCAACTCCTCAAAAACCCACCACAGTAAATATTTCAGCTACGGAAGCCCCATCAGCTCCTCAGAAACCTACCACAGTAAATGTTCCAGCTACAAAGTCCCCATCAGCTCCTCAGAAACCCACCACAGTAAATGTTCCAGCTATAAAGTCCCCATCACCTTCTCCGAAACCCACCACAGTAAATGTTCCAGCTACAGAAGCCACACCAACTCTTCAGAATCTCACTACAGGAAATTCTTCAACTACAAAAGCCCTACTAATTCCTCAGACACCAAACTTCACTGTTCTAGCTATGGATGCCCCACCGATTTCTCAGAAACCTCTCACAGCCAATGATTCAGCCACAATAGCCAAACTATCTCCTGTCTCAAATGTTCTACTTACAGAGACCCAACTAACAGTCCAGACTCTCATCATGACAAATTCTTCTGCTACACGAGCCACACCAAAACCCCAGAGCTTCACCACAGCAAAAGCTTCCTATACACAGAGTCTCCCAGTAACAAAAAAATTCACTATGGTACATGCCCCAATGACTAAGGGTCTCCATACAACACAAAGATTGACATCTGCTCATATTGCAGCCACACAGAATGAAGCTATCTTCACGACACCTAGCATCTCGAAAGGAAGTGGACTCCTTACAGCAGGTGAGCTGACACTGCTCAGGTTCCAGAGTATATATGGATCTAAAGTGCTATGGTGGAGAATGTCAACTTGACCAGGATTACGTAATTAAATAATCTGGGATCTGTTGTAGTCAGCATTGTTTTCATACTCATGTTTTGGACTTTCTTCAGAGGCAGAGTTGGATTGTGGTTAGGGCAAATCTTTAAAAAAGGAAAGATTTTGCAATGATATAGAAAAAAAGGTGTGGCCCCATCAAAACGATGCTAAGTTAAGGTTGGTGAAGAAATTCTGTTTTCTATATTAGCTTTAGGGAGTCGTTGAATTTTTCAAGACTCTTCCTAGAACCAAATATATGCCATCCTTAAAGTTGATTTCTGGGTCTGGTTCATTGACAGAGACCCGTCCCTCAAGCATGCTAAAAGCTCTCTCCAGATTCCCTAGAGTTGCTAATTTGGTAAAGCAGCTCAACAGTGTCTTCTAAGTAATTGAAAACACAGTTCTTTGAATTAGTTCATAATAATGCAGGGCTCTTTAAATAAAGGCACTTGAAGTAAAATGTGCTATAGACTTTAGAACTACCTGTTGAGTGAATACGTGAAACCCATTTTACTAATTAATGCTGCTTCAGACCACTAGGATGTCTTCTTGTCCCATGTCTTGCCTAATGTACAGCCATTTTTTAAAAAAATATATTTTATTGATTTTTACAGAGAGGAAGGGAGAGGGATAGAGAGTTAGAAACATCGATCAGCTGCCTCCTGCACACCCACTCTGGGGATGTGCCCGCAACCAAGGTACATGCCCTTGACCGGAATCCAACCTGGAACCTTTCAGTCCACAGGCCAACGCTCTATCCCCTGAGCCAAACTGGTTAGGGCTGTACAGCCATTTTTATATGCATTCTTCTCCAATAGGGATACCTATTTTGTTTTATTTTATGTTGTTCCTTGGAAAATCTCAATATAACTGAGCCAAGAGATAATTTTCAAAAACAGTATTTTAACATTTTTATTGAAGTCAACACCCATGCAGAAAACTGCAGAAAACATACATGTGTGGCTTAGTAACTTTTTTTTAAAAATTGAATTTATTGAGGTGACATTGCTTAATAGGATCATATAGGTTTCAGGTGTGGATTTCTGTTACACAATCTATATATTGCACTGTGTGCCCACTACCCAAAGTCAAATCAAACACCATCATCATATATTAGGCTCCCTTCACCCCACCCCACACCCTTTGATCTGGCAACCACTACACTGCTGTTTGTGTTCATGAGTTTCAGATTTATATCCCACATATGAGTGAAATCATATGGTTCTTAGTTTTTTCTGCCTGACTTATTTCACTTAGCACAATATTCTCAAGATTCATGCATGTCATCACAAATGGCAGTATTTCATTTTTTTATGGCTGAGTAGTGTTCCATTGTGTATATGTACCACATCTTCATTATTCAATCCTCTATCACAGGACACATTGGCTATCTCTATGACTTGCCTACTGTGAATAACGTTGCAATAATATAGGGATGCATACATGTTTTCGAGTTTTTTGGGTATATACCTAGGAGAAGGATTGCTGGGTCATATGGTAGCTCTATTCTTAATTTTTTGAGGAACTGCCATACTGTTTTCCATAGTGTCTGTACCAGTCTACATTCCCACCAGCAGTGAATGAGGTTTCCCTTTCTCCACAACCTCTCCAGCACTTGTTATTACTTGTCTTGTTGGTAATAGCCATTCTAAAAGGTGTGAGGTGGCATCTCATTGTAATTTTGATTTGCATTTCTCTAATTGCTAGTGAGGTTGAACATATTCTCATATAGCTGTTTGTATGTTTTCTTGGAAGAGGTGTCCGTTCAGATCCTCTGCCCATTTATTAATTGGGTTGTTTTTTTTGTTTGGTGTTGAGTTTTATGAGTTTTTTATATATCTTAGATATTAACACTTTGTTGGAGTTATTGTTTGCAAATATCTCCCATTTGGTTGGCTACCTCTTTGTTTTGTTGTCTTTTTTTTTTTCCTGTGCAGAAGCTTTTTAGTTTAACATAGTCCCATTCATTTGTTTTTACATTTACTTCCATAGCCTTTGCCTATTCTGTAATAACTAATTTGTACTTCTTTTTTTTTTTTAATATATTTTATTGATTTTTTACCGAGAGGAAGGGAGAGGGATAGAGAGTTAGAAACATCGATGAGAGAGAAACATCGATCAGCTGCCTCCTGCACATCTCCTACTGGGGATGTGCCCGCAACCCAGGTACATGCCCTTGACCGGAATCGAACCTGGGACCTTTCAGTCCACAAGCCGACGCTCTATCCACTGAGCCAAACCGGTTTCGGCTGTTATCCATTTTAAATTAATTTTTGAACATGGGGACAAACTATAATCCAGTTTCATTCTTTTGCATGTGACTTCCAGTTTTCCCAGACCATTTATTGAAGAGAGCAATGTATTAATTATTACAAATGTATTTATTTGAAAGTAATTTCTGCAATGCCTCACTTATATTCATTGAAAGGTTTAAATAAAAAAGTGATATAGTAGTTTAAGTTTTGATAACATCTGCTGAAAAAAACTTCAGTTTCTGATAGTTTCTTGAGCATAGGATCAGATCAGTAGTTACTATTTAAGCTTTTGAATTTGTTTCTTGTCATCAAATCACATGACCAAATTTACACGGTGTTTGTTTCGGTATTCAGTAACTCTTTATCATGTTTACTGTTTATAATGTTAACTTGCTGAGTAGATATAGGCACTGGTGTGTATTTTATTTGATTGTTCATAATGTGTAATTGTTTTCATAAATTTATTTATAATTATTTCTTTTAGTTGTGGAAATCTGAGTTACTTTTGAACTTTCAAGTACAGTTTATGTATATGAAATTTGTAGCAAATAAATGAATTTAGTAATTTTTTAAAATTTTCTTCTTCTTTAGGGATTACCATCATTGGAACTGGTAAGTCTGACTCCTTGACAGTTAAAAGAAATCGTCATCGCTGTAGTAGGTACAATCCATGTTTCTGGCAGAGAATATTGCATTATAACTGTCTTAGGTATAGTGTTAGAAGGCTGTGTTCATGGATGCCAAAGAGAAAACAGGTAAATGTATTTCATGATGTTTTGTGGACACCATTACGTGTTTGGTATGTTTCTAAGTACTATTCCCAACCATATTCTTGTTCCAAAGTAATATTAGGAAAACTTCAAATCATTGGGCCACGCAATCAAGTATTATTATATGCCTATTGTTTTAATTCTGGGGCCGAAGAATGACAAGAAAAGATAGTTATTAATACAGGTTCTAGCCTCAAGTATTTTACAATTAATCAGATATGACTTCTTGTTTTTTTTAATCTTTATTGTTGAAAGTATTACATATGTCCCCTTTCCCCTCCACTGACTCCTTCAAGAAATTACTTCTTGACCATTTCTAGATTTCTGTCTTACCCTCAAATATAACAAAGAGTGCTACCTTTGATTATATGTTTTTTCTTTTCCCTTCTCTATCAGTGATTGAAAGCAAAATTATTTTTAAAAAAATATTCTGTTGCTTTAGTCATGAGGCCAAAAACAACTGTGTTGCAATTTATTTTTGCATTTGGTCCAGTCCTTTATTTTATCCATAAATATATTATTTAATGTTATATATTAACAATAAGATTAATAAACTTCCAAAGATACTAAGAGAAATGTTTAAGAAGCAATACAGTTAAATTTGCATATTGATAAGTAACATTCAATAGAAAATACACTCTTATAAAAAAGTGTATATTTTAAAATTGTGTCCTAATAATCTGGAGTCTTCTGTCTTATGTTTGTATGAATTAGCCAAGGGACTATAAAGCTGAAGACAGGTATTGTGAAATTATTTTTAAAAAAATTATTTATGATAGTTCTTTTATATTTTGAATAAATGTCTCCTAAAGTTTAAAACTAAAAGATTTGTTTTAAAAGATTCTGTCAGAATTCAATTTGTTTATTTTATATTTTAAATAGAAATAAAATGTATTATAAATGAATATTTCATGATTTCATGTTGACAACAGTGATGTGTTTAATAGATGAGGTATTTTTCACCTGCTCAGTATTGTTCAATAAAGATTTGAAATGCTTATTATTTTCTCTTTAAATTCTTAAAATATATATTATGTGATTTCCCAGAAAGCTTTTTTTTGAGTTAGTTGTAATTCTAAATTATCCTCAAAAATAAAGAGGAATTTCTTCTCTTTTAAATCAGACATATAGTAATATTTTTATTTGTGATCATATACTTGTAAAATATAAACCTGAAAATTCTTTTTTTTTAGAGTGGCATTTTTTTAAATCATTGTTTTCTTATTTTTCAATTGCAGTTGACATATAATATTATATTAGTATCAGGTATACAACCAGTAATTAGACATTATATAACTTAGTGATCACCTTGATAAATCTAGTACTCATCTGACAACATACATAGTTATTACAATATTATTGACTTTACTGACTCTTCTGTAATTACCAGTTTATACTATTCAATCACTTCACCTTTTTATCCATTTCTCCAAACCCTTCCCCTCCCATCTGGCACTATCAAAATGTTCTCTGTATCTATGAGTCTGTTTCTGTTCTGCTTGTTCATTTGTTTAGTTTTTTTAAAAAATTCTATATATAAGTGAAATCATGTGGCATTCATCTTCATTTGACTTATTTCACTCAGCACAATGGCAAGATTTCATTCTTTTATATGGCTGAGTCATATCCCACTTCTTTAGTTTTCATTGATTGATGGACACTTAGTTTGCTTACACATCTTGGCTATTGTAAATAATGCTGTAATGAACACAGGGATGTATATGTCTTTTTCATAGTGTTTTGGGTTTCTTCGGATAAATATCCAGACATGGAATTACTGGGTCTTTCTTTGTTTTTTGTTTTTTTTTTTGGTTATATAGCCTATGTTTTAAAATCTATTTTGCCTAATATAATTATTGCTACCCCAGATTTTTTGTTTCCATTTTTATAAAAATATTTTTTCTATCCCTTTACTTTCAGTCTGTCTGCATCATAAGGATCTTGTTTTGTTATTCATTCAGCATTCATATGTCTTTTATTGGAGCATTTAACCATTTGCATTCAAAGTAATTATTGATAGATATGTATTTATTGCCATTTTAGTCTTTATATTTTTATCTTTTTTCTTCTTAAATAAAACCCTTTAAGATTTCTTGTAATATGGGTTTGGTGGTGGGGAACTCCTTTAGCTTTTTCTTGTTTGGGAAACTCATTGTATATCCTTCAATTCTAAATGGTTACTTTACTGGGTAGAGTAATCTTGTCAGTAGGTCCTTGCTTTTCATCACTTAGAATATTTCTTGCCAATATCTTCCGGCCTTAAAGTTTCTGTTGAGTAATCAGCTGACAGTATCATAGGAGTGACCTTGTAGATAACTAACTGCTTTTCTCTTGCTGCTTTTAAGATTCTCTCTTTGTCCCTAATCTTTTGCATTTTATAGCTGTACTAGAGGCTCAGTGCACGAGATTTGTGCACTGGTGTGTGTGTGTGTGTGTGTGTGTGTGTAAGGGGGTGTCCCCTCAGCCCAGCCTGTGCTCTCTCACAGTCCAGGAACCCTTGGGGGATGTCCACCTGCTGGCTTAGGCCCGCTCCTCCAAAGAGTCCTTAGCACTGCCGCAGAGGCAGGAGAGTCTTCCACCATTACCACTGCACTCACCAGCCGTGAGCCTGGCTTCTGGCTGAGCGGAGCTCCCCCTGTGGGAGCGCACTGACCACCAAGGGACAGCTCCTGCATTAAGCATCTGCCCCCTGGTGGTCAGTGCACATCATAATGACTGGTTGTTCTGCAGTTCAGTGGATTGCATATTAGGGTTTTATTATATAGGATAGTATTCCATTGTGTAAATGTACCACAGCTTTTTTATCCACTCATCTACTTATGGGCACTTGAGCTGTTTCCAGATATTAGCTATTGTAAGTAGTGCTGCTATGAACATAGGTGTATATATAGTTTTTCTAATTAGTGTTTTAGGATTCTTAGGCTATATTCCTAGGAATGGGATCACTGGGTCAAAGTAGAGTTCTATTTTTAATTTTTGGAGAAAACTCCATACTGTTTTCCACAGTGGCTGCACCAGTCTGCATTCCCACCAGCAGTGCACGAGGGTTCCCTTTTTATTGTGTCTTTACACCTTTCTACACATGACAAACTTAAATCCCATTATAAAGTGACTTCAATTATCTACTTGTTATTCAAACTTAAGAAGTCAGATAATCATATAACTTTTCAGTGATCTTTTTGGTCTGGCAAGGAAAGTGTGTGGATTTTTCTTACTTAACATTTTTGAAGAAATACAGAGGCACAGAAAATCCAGTGATAACAGCAAGATCCTGTAGATGTTGCTGAGTAAGATGTGTTGAAACCTGACTTATAAATCTGAAAATTTAAGGTTTACTCAAGCATATTCTTTTCTCTTCTGCAAAAGTCTCTTTCCAGTGTGACTTCACTTTTCCACAATTTCAATCCCTTTATTCTGTTACATTAAATGAGATTATAAGCAAGAACTGAATCTATCTACAACTTTCTTATATTTTAGAGCATAAGGAATACATTTCTACTTTATTAGATGTAAGTTGGACCTTTTGAAGTGACTGGCTGAACCCATATTTCTTCAGAAAAGGAGACTAGTATCATTTCATTAACACAAGATCTTGTAGGTAGAATTCTGATTTGGATTTTTCAAAACTAAAGATGATACTCTGTATATTGCTTCCATTTGCTCATCTGCAAAAATAATGTCATTTTATACAATTTAATAAATATTTATAAGCACTTTCTACTATTTTCCAAGCGCTGTGCTAGTTATTGGAGCTGATCAAATGAGATAACAGGTGGCAAACTGCTTTGCAACATTTTAAACAGTGTTAACATATTTCTACTTCCAGGGACATTACTGAAACACTACCTTTTCTTGGAGAAAGTCATTTTTAAAGTTAGGTAATGTTTCTACCTCAGAGCTCTTCAATTAATAACTAGGAACACTGGAATCACAATCATAATTTTATTAATAATTCATAGTTTCATTTATCCCAAGTTGCATAAATATTAAATTGATTCGGATTCACCTTTGGGGTAGTTTTCTGTAGATACCAAGTGGATTTTAACAACATAAATTATTGACATTATACTTAAATTTTTTTCCTTCTAATTTGTGAGATAATACTCCATTGTCAATTTATGAAGCAATCATTTCTGTATATTTGTTTCTCAAACTTCTGTATTTTGCTCTGGTTTTTTGTTAACCCATCAACCTTCACATAGTTTCTTCAAGAATTACATATATGTACTAATTCGAGTTCTAGAAATAGGCTTTTACTTCCATCATCTAGCTATTTTGGATCACTCTTAAATTTCTATATTCATTTATCATTCAAATCGAAAATGGAGGTTTTTGCTACATTTAAAAATAATGGGGTTAATGAAATGTGGTGAAGGGGGAAAAAACCCTCAAAAAATGTTGAGGAGCCATGATTTATTTTATGAAAATGATATAGTGCTAGGGCATAAGTTAAAGAAATTGACTGAGTAAAGTACTATAAAAACTTACCTGTGGTGGACATAGCTGTTGTTTTTTTGTTTTGTTTGTTTTTTAAATAATTTGTCCACATGGCAGTGCAATTGTATAATATCTCTATATAGCTGATGTGGAACCAGATCCACTCATTAGATACATTAGCTTCAGTTTGCTTTTCTAGTATCATCTCTACTTTCCTTTGTAGTACAGATCAGAAGAGTAGAGTTCAAGGACAGTGGAGGGTGGAGTGGGGAGGAAATGCATATATGAAAGATCAATGGTCAAATCATTTAAGTTAAGCATGATGGGGTTAAAATACTTAATAATCTTCTCAAACCTATCAAACTAATTTTATTTCATCATTATACTTTATTTTTAATATTTTATTTCTTTTTTCTTTGAAAGAAAACAGAACAAAGGGTAAATAATACACAGTTTTTACTCTCAAATTTGTAACATATAGAAGCCATATGCAAAACCATAATTTCTGTCTTCTATATTTTCTTTAATTTGCCTCATAATATCCTTATGAAATTACACTGTATATATAATTGCTTATGTGTCTATTAACTGTGTTACCATATTTTTCCCCTCTCAAGGACTTATTGTTGGTGCAATAATAATTGCTATCATAAGTCTAACCAAAATTTTCGGGGACTGTGGAAGATCAGGGTGAGCAGAAATTCTGATGACTTAAAACATTTGCTCTTAGCTTCTTTCCGGTAAAACTTGATATTTTATCACGAATAGATAATTTTCCTCAGTTAATTGTCTTTTTAGACATGCTCTCTCTTTATCCCTTTTGTCTAGAATCACTACCTTGCATAAGCAGACTTTGTGTCTTTTTTAAAAATTTCTCAATATATTGAAAAACATTAACAACATTTCAAAGGAAAATGGTTTGAAAGCCGAAGTCTCACTTTGCAGTCTATTAATCAATTTACCCTTTCCTTAGTATAATTTATGGTAGCATATGTGTGTTGCACAAAACCAAAGAAATCTAGGGGGAGAAAAGCCAACCTCTAACATATTGTTAAATCGCCTGTAATTAGGCCTGTCTTTGAGTTGCATTTATTGATGCATGCCTGTCTAGCCAAAGAGGACAGGCTCTGGCATCTGACTGCGTGGTTCCATCCTGTGTGTCTACTGTTCATGTGCCATGTCACTGTAAGCAACTTAGCCTCTCTGTGCCTCAGTTTTCTCATCTGTAAAATGGAAGAAATAGAAAACATACCTTATGGGATTGTAGTAAGGATCAAATGAGTTTCCACCTGTAAAGAAGTTAGAACATCACTTGGCATATAGGAGGCCTTCAGATGGTAAAATAGTAACACATAGGGGAAAAACCAGTCTGATTTGAAACATCTGATCTGCCTTGAACATTCATATATTAAGTATATTGTCATGGTTGGCTCTGGCATTTTCTGCAGACAAACAGAAGGTTACTTAAATTGACCCTCTTCTGGCCCTCTGGGCAGAGGGAACAGCATGCACAAAGGCATGTCTGAGAAACAGAAGGCTTTTATTTCAATTCATCCTTATAAACACGCACGACACCTTAAAAACATAAAAATAAATAAATAAATTGACCCTCTTCTGTTATCTTGTAGATTTTATTGTTCAGAAAACTAATTATGGAGTTCATATAAACTCTTGAGTCATTTCTATACTTCCCTCATGGCTCCATTTTCATTAATTAATTAAGAACAACTATATTTACACTGTTACTAAATTGCCTGTCTTAATTCTTTGATGAATGTGAGCTATCTACTTTTTGCCCCATTTAACACTTTCCTTTCTCCTTAAATTAACAAATATTGTTAAGTAGTATAGTTAAGCCTATTATAAGCCTATTATAAGTATGAACATTCTTTAAATCACTGAATTGTTCAGTATTTTAGCCAAATATTAGACCATTAGGTCCTGGATTTTTAAAATAGATTTTCCTGTTAATAAAGTGGTCTTGAGGCTATAATACTACATGTCGTAAAATACAACGTTCTCTTCAAATTTTGCAGGATCTTTTGAAGAAGGGGCTTTAAAGCCCAGCCCAAAACAAGTCCAAGTCATTAAAATAGTTGATCATGCAGATGCCCCAGCAAAACTACTCTGGAAAAAAAGTAAACCCCCTACCTTATGCTCTTCCTTACATTTGTTCCATCTCTTCTGTTGGGTTGCAGTGGTTCTCAACCTTCCTAATGCCGCGACCCTTTAATACAGTTCCTCATGTTGTGGTGACCCCCAATTTCATTGTTACAAATTGAACATGAGAGCATAGTGATTAATCACAAAAGCAATATGTAATTATATATGTGTTTTCCGATGGTCTTAGGCGACCCCTGTGAAAGGGTCGTTCGACCCCCAGAGGGGTCGAGACCCACAGGTTGAGAACTGCTGGAGAGCATTACCCATTTAGCTTCCAGAGCCAATGCTTTGGGGCTCTGCAGACGAGATAGGTGGAAAGTGGTGAGTTTACAAGTTGCTAGCTCTTAGCTGTCATCAGTTTCTTTCTTTCTTTTTAAAAAAAATATATTTTATTGATTTTTTACAGAGAGGAAGGGAGAGATAGAGAGTTAGAAACATCGATCAGCTGCCTCCTGCACATCTCCTACTGGGGATATGCCCGTAACCAAGGTACATGCCCTTGACCGGAATCGAACCTGGGACCTTTCAGTCCGCAGGCCGACGCTCTATCCACTGAGCCAAACCGGTTTCGGCTGTCATCAGTTTCTTTACTTTGGCAAAGTAATCGGCCATGATATTTTTGATTGGATGAAAAGTGTTGAACCACAGAAGGAGGTAATATTCGTTTCCCTAATTCCTCTATTTCAAATAAGAGGAAAATCAGGCAAAAACCCCTAAGAAAGAATTTGCCTTTTTTTAATGTGCCCTGTAATAACACTCCACTTGCCTTATTGGAGAAGTAAAAGCTGTTGAGAGGAAGAGCTAACTTTATTCATTCCTGGTTATTCTCCTAATTCATATCACTTTTAAAACATTCATACCTATTTAATTAAAAATTGGATCTTAATGAGGACAGGGCCAAGAGTTCATGAGTCTGAAGGTGCTAGCGGACCTTCACCTGATGATCCCTGTGTTTGCCTATGAAAGGTTTTCCGATGGTCTTAGGCGACCCCTGTGAAAGGGTAGTTCGACCCAACACTTTTAGAAGTGTTGGGTTTGTACGATACATTGGAGCTCAAAAGGATGTGGCTGTAAGCAACTGCTGGTACTACTTTTTTGATTCAGGTTAGAATTATATAATTCAATTAGTGTTTTCCCTCTCTACTATTCAGCTCTTATTACATCCAGGAGAACAACAAAGAATTCAATGTTATGTTTCATAATTTAACAGAGACTGGTGATGCCTCAGAAGTATGGCCTTCTGGTAAATTCGAAAGGTATCTAGTTCTATAAAATCGCATTTCTTGCAAAATGTTCATCAATACTGTGGTCTCAGGGTGTGTCTGGTGCTGTTCAAAGATAATAGAGGATTTCACCTCTATTATTGTTGTAACTCTTTCTCTTTTTGTGAAGGATTGACATTACTAACATTGAATCTCTCAGTATGACATGTCATCAGTTCTTGACACTCTTCCGCAATATGCTCATCATCTCATTCTGTGTTTTGAACTCAGTTTATTGTAATGATTCGATGCTAGCAATGACATAAATATTTTGGGGGAGGAAAAACAAAGGTTGATACATTAGGTCTACTAATAAGAATGCCTTTATTCTAACTATTTGTATCATGAGATGATTGGCTTATATTGTATTTGTTTCTCTTTTTTGCTTGATGGCTTCCAGGGTTTAAAATTTGATGTATGGTATATTTTATAAGTCCTGTTTATGGATCTTATAAGATATCTCTTTTATGTTGTCACAGGAAATGGTTACACAAAAATAACTTCATGTTAACGTATCTGTGAAACTTTCTAGGTGTCTTTTTCTTGGATAAAACTTTCCTCTATTTCACATGTAGTAGTCAAGGGGTTCTCATTGACTTTTAATCTGAAAGTATCTCAATTGATTCTACCTCGACCAGTTAATCTCAAAAACTATTTTAGTTGGTGTTGCCATAGTTACTATACTCTAGCTCCACAGTGGCTGAGGTTGTCTATACTGTATGATTTTGCATTGTGTGACACCCCAAATTAGCCAATTAATTCTTCTTCATGCTTTATCATATCATAACTTAACATTGCATGCTTATCACCAATAAGTCAAATTACCTTGATTTTAACTTTTTATTTTTAACTTTCAGGACACACATTTATGACATTGACAGTTTTGCTTATGATGCTGGTAGCCATTGGCTACCTGACTTAGCCAAAGAAGAGATAAGAAGAAAGTGCATACAAGTACACAGAATATTCTAGTTTTTATACGTTTCTGGAAGCACGGACACAATATATGCAGTAGTGTTCTTCATCTTGCACGTTATCAGTGTCTTTAAGGTGCATAGGAATGTCAATAAAGCTAGAAGAAAAGACTGGAATCGCATTCTCAACATTTCTAAGCCTCTTGGAAATAGGACAACTCACAGGACTGAGAGCGATTACGTTTCTAAAAGTGTAGAGATTTGTGAGCATGAAGAAAAGGAAATCAGTTATTTTTTCCCATTAGATTTGTAATGTTATTTTTACTTACAAAAAATATATAAAAAATTAAATACATGAATTGGATATTGAAAACAAATGAAAAAAATATTGCCCAGTCTCTTGAGGAAAATTGCCAGAGAGAGATGAACCACATTATAAAGTGACCCTTCTTGACTCTAAGGCATGTTTATCTTTCCTTGTTCCACTAAAATGAGTTTGAATGGGTTGGCAAATGTTTTAAATGAAAAACATGTTAATGACTCAGAGTGTCAAGTTTCTTGGATTTAGTTGGTGGCAAAGAAGAAGTATAGAAGGAAGAAATAATTATTTCTTTGCCACATAAGTACAGATAATTAACAAGAATTTAGCTCCTTACTTTTAAGATGGATTAGTGACAATTTTCATTTTATTCTTCGGACAGTCTTTTTTTTTTTTTTGTAAAAGGATCCTGGGAAAGGGTGAAAGGAGGAAAGGTGTCTTTTTATTAACTTAATGTCTTTAAAAGTATCCAGAGATATTATAAGATTAACATAAAAAGGTTCTATATTTCTGAAATGATTCTAAATTATATATCGTATTTTTTGTGATATTAAGATTATTTATTTATATTAGTGAACACACTGGATTTACATGTATAACAAAAAAAGTTCAAAAGGAAATGTAAAGAAAAATTTATTTTCCCTAAATGAAATAAATAATTGATCATATTTTTTTGGTCTCATGTAGTATTTGAAATTTACTTTCTTAAATATAAATAATTTATCTCTAAATAAGATATTCCCTTTCTGCCTCCCATAAGTAGTTTACAATGATATCCTTTTGCTTATCCTAAATGTTTGGTGAAACATTTTTGGTTGCTTTTAAATTATACTATATTGTAGTTTCTTAAGCATGTCATAATCCTCTCAGAGTATTATACTACTTGTTACTGATTTACCTAAAGGCAATCGAATTAATTTTCTAGATTCTTAATATATTCTTGTCATCTTACATTTTAAGTTATGGAATAGACTAGAATATGCACATAACTAAATTTAACAATAATTATTTGTCACATTACATCATCTGCTTTGTTGTTGAAGTATTTTAAACTAACTTCCATACCCACCATGGCATTTCACTGTAAATACTTCAATATGTGTTTCTAACAATACAGATTTTTTTTTTTTACCTAACCACAATCAGTACAAGTAACAAGACTTAACAATAATTTGCTAATAGTTTCTAATATTAGGTAATTCATTTTTTAACTCTCCTAAAAGTACCATGAATAGGTACATATCCACCTAATTCATTTGTTAACTAGGAGGGCCTGCTCTGCCTACTCTCTCTCAAACCCCCGTTCTATTTCCCTCTTATTCCTTCTCCCTTCCCTCTCTCCCGCTCTACCATGTGAGGACACAGTGAGAAGGCAGCCATCTACAAGGCAGAGCGCTCTCACAAGAAGCTGACCATACTGACACTCTGATTTGGGGCTTCTGATTTCTGTTGTTTAAGCCACTCAGTCTATGATATTTTGTTATGGCAGTTTTGAGTTAATACTATGGCCAAATATAGTATTCACCGTATTGTTAGTTTATAGAACAATTGGTAAATTCACTTTACACTTTACAGGTAAGCTTTATATATTAATTTTTAAACTGAACGTATACTGAGATCTTTAGCACTGTGATTTTGTGCAAGATATTTAACCTCTCTGTTTCTTAGTCTACAAAAATTACAGTAGAATGTCAATATTTGTAGCGTGCTTAGAATAGTGTCTGGCACACAATACACTATGTGTTCCTTAAATTAAATATAAGTAAACAAAATAAGGCATAGTTCTAAAGTTCTGTATCTGCATGTATATGTTTTTGTTTTAATGTATGGAAGTTTTATTGGCTTCTTGTACTTAGCATAATGTTTTTGAGGTTCATCTAATTTGGGGCATGTATTAGTACTGTATTCATTTTTATGGCTGAGTAATAGTCTCCTGTATGGATATACCACACTTTGTTTGTCCATTCACCATCTTAATGTTGAGGGATATTTGGGTTGTTTCCACATTTTGGCTGTTATGAATAATGCTGCTACGGACATTCATGTACAAGTTTTTCTGTGAGCGTTTATATGTTTTCATGTGTTCTTGTTACTACAGAAAAGAGTTCAGGCTCCATGCCTCCTGTGTTTGTTTTATTTCTTGGGCCTTTTCATGACTATTAATTATTGGGCTGTTGCTATTTAACATATTCTGTTCCTCTATGTTGTAGTTCAACAGGGATGCTGAGGACTTCAAACCACAGATTTCGCTTTTCCTCATTCAAAACGTCTTAAAGGATAGATGGTTTTTAGACTAGGGCAGAAAAACATTTTCATCCATAATTTAGGTTTTTCTTCCCAGGCGTGTGTGTGTATTTTATTTCTCCTCTTATTAGAGTGCACTATTAGCTTTAGCCAATGATGTTATAACAATTTAATAAATCAGTACGTTTATTTGGAAAGCAACACTTTCAAATAAAGGAACATGTTCAGACTTGGTCCTCTCACCATTCATGTCGTTATCCTGTATGAATAACGGTTGCCTTTGTAAACGTAATGACTGTAAGACATGTTCTTCTATTTCCTTTCTTTTTAAATATGTTTTTATTGATTTTAGAGAGAGAGGAAGGGACAGGGGGGAGAGAGAGAGAGAGAAACATCGATGTGACAGAGAACCATCCATCCGTTGCCTCCTGTTACACACCCCAACCAGGATGGAACCTGCAACCTAGGCAAGTGCCCTGACCATGTGCCAGCTACTATGGGATGATGCTCAACCAACTGAGCCACACCAGCCAGGGCTGCACTTCCATTTCCTCTGAATCTAGGGAGGTGTTATTAGTGCTGCTTTATTGTTTTTATCTCAGAGATAGCACATTTGAAAGTTAGGGATGCTATCTTGATAGTTTAACCTTTTCTGGAGTATCTTAGAGGCTCCTCCCAGATGTATGTAGCAGTTGGTGGTCTTTTTATACTAATACAGTGGGAATTCCATTGCACACTAAAGACATTATTATCTTTCCAGCAAAGAATTAGGTGCATAACCTTGTCTTGATCAAATTGCCGTCCATAGAAACCGAGTTATATTCAGAATATATCGGGGTTATCTTCAGTGCCCATTTCACTTCGAGGGAAGTATGCAGATCCTGAACCCAAAATGCTTCTGGAAGGCGAGAGCCCCTATTTAGGGCTCTTGGCTTTTACTTGGACTTCACATTCCCCACCTTTTCATTCATGGGCTTTCATTCAGGGAGAAAAAAACAACAACTGATCACCTTCAGTGGCAGAATCTCATCACATGCGTGGGCAGAGGGGAGGTTATGGCTGTCCTTTTTGTCCGAAGTAGAGAAAGGAAAGAGACAGGCCGCTCTGATCCAGGGCAGTGGGGGGCGGCCTTGCAGAGACTGTTGTGCGCAGAAGTGCCCATCACCACCCTGAGTGAGCTTGGGGAGGTCACACTGCGCATGTGCCCTCCAGGGGGCAGTGCTGTTCCTGAGGAAAGAATGGGGCGCGCAGAGGTTCCTGTAAAGTTGCTCCTCTCACATTGCAAAACCAAGCCTCCCTCTGCTGGGCCCTCATTTCACCCACCACAAAAGAACCTTCTGCCTGCCTTTGGTCAGATCCCGCAGGGTGAGCTATCAAAGCAGAAGCGCTAGGTTAGGGACCCTTCCTGAAGTTTGAAGGCTTGCAGACTCCCTCATGTCATGAAAGAAAAAGAATCTGGATCCTCTGAGAGGGACCTCAGTGACAGCAGATGGCAGCAGCCCTCCCTCTGAGCCACGGATGGACGGTAACCTTCCTGCTTGTCAGCCTAACACCCCCACCTCAGCTTAATCATTCAATCTCCAAGCAGGCGTTCGTTTAAGAGTCAAGGACTCGCTGAAACCGGTTTGGCTCAGTGGATAGAGCATCGGCCTGTGGACTGAAAGGTCCCAGGTTCAATTCCGGTCAGGTGATGTGGAGGAGGCAGCTGATCAATGTTTCTCTCTTATTGATGTTTCTAACTCTCTATCTCTCTCCCTTCCTTTCTGTAAAAAATTAATAAAATATATTAAAAAAAAAAGAGTCAAGGACTCAGAATTCTCTGTTTAAATAAAGAGTCCAACAAAGCTATGGGTTTTACTTCACCTTTTGAATAATTGGGGGGAAAAAAGAAAATTTCAAAGCACTTCCTTAAAAATAAAACAAGTATTTTTTTAAATCTTTGATAAGACATATATATGAATTTAAATATCATAACAGGGGCTCACATTATTACAGCAGCCAATCAGAAGCTCATACTTTCAGGGGTTAAGTCACAGAGGGTGACTTTTTAAAAATATATATTTTATTGATTTTTTACAGAGAGGAAGGTAGAGGGATAGAGAGTTAGAAACATCGATGGATCAGCTGCCTCCTGCACACCCCCTACTGGGGATGTGCCCACAACCAAGGTACATGCCCTTGACCAGAATCGAACCTGGGACCCTTTAGTCCGCAGCCCGATGCTCTATCCACCGAGCCAAATCGGCCAGGGCCTGAGGGTGACTTTCATGTCATACGGTTCTGAGGGGCTCTGTAGGAGAGGTGGCAGGAAATACATGGTACCCAGGCTGGTCTGTAGTTAAGCAGTTAAAGCAGGCTTTCCCCTGCTGAAAGTCCCACTCGGAGACAATGGGCTTTCACTAAGTTAGGTGACTTGTAATGGACAGTATGCCGCACTACTGGCTAAGAAAATAGAATTACTTACTGTAGGAAAAAATAAGCTCAAATCAAGACAGTAGAAGTATTCATTGTGGAAAAGTTGTTGAAACAAAAAGCACTGTGTTGTGCTTAGGTTTCAGGAAAATTAGAAATTACCTAGATTTATGATTTATGATGCTTCCAAAAGGGGAACAAGTGAAATTGTTTATCTTCACCACCAGGATTGAAGGAGCTATGCTCCATTTGACAGTTACTGTAACTTTCACAGTAGCCATTGTTTCATATCTTTATCTGATTATTTAAAACTAGAGGCCTGGTGCACGAATTCGAGCACAGGTGGGGTCCAGCCGGCCAGCCCCACTCAGGCTGGGCTGGCTGGGGGGAGGAGACGTGGGAGGTTGGCCGGCCAGCCCCACCCCTGGGCAAACTCCGGTTGAACTCCTGGTCCAGGGGACAATTTTCATATTACCCTTTTATTATGTAGGATAAGGTTTGTCAAATGATAAAATTAAGTTATCATAAAAGGTACTAATATACATTTCATAAGAGGTAAACCAACAGAGTGAAATGTACAAATACAGATATAGACCCAATACCATATGCAAACTTAATTTAAAAAAATATATATTTTTTTATTGATTTCATAGAGGAAGGGAAAGGGAGAGAGAGATAGAAACATCAATGATGAGAGAGAATCATTGATCGGCTGCCTCCTGCACTTCCCCACACTGGGGACTGAGCCCACAACCCAGGCAAGTGCCCTGACCGGGAATTGAACCATGATCTCCTGGCTCATAGGTCAATGCTCAACCACTGAGCCATGCTGGCTGGACTGCAAACTTAATTCTGAATGAACATGACATGTCAATTCTGTAGAATGCAGAGTTTTAAAAATGAGACCAGCATAAATGTATATTGTTCTGGAAGAAAAAATATTGCCCCATCATACCATTTACATAACTAAAACCCAGGTGGATTAAATATCTAAAATTTAAATATGCATGTA